GACTGAAATGGGTCCCGATAATCAGTTTCATCCAAGAGTGCTTGGAGTTGTCCCGCCACCACCCGCTCTAACACCTTGCCCAGAAACGGGATGTTGACCACTGGTCTATAATTAGTGGCCATCTCTGGATCCAGTGACGCTTTCTTCAGGACCGGTCGGACTACTGCCTCCTTTAAAGGGGCAGGTACCCGACCCTCCCTCAGAGAAGCGTTAACCACTTCCAAGATCCAGGTCCCAATCCCGTGCTTGGCGTTTATTAATCAAGATGGGCAAGGGTCCAATAGGCAAGTGGTGGGACGTATTCGTCCAAGCACCTTGTCCACATCATCAGGCCGCAATAACTGAAATTCATCCATTGATTTTGGACCAGACGGTGACACTGGTATCTCCCCAGAAGCCTCTGAATCACTAGTAGAGTCCAGCTCGTGACGAATCTGAGTGATTTTCTCCCTGAAATGCTTGGCAAAGTCATCACAGCGGGCCTTCGAGGGTGGAACCAGATCTCTCTTAAGGCCAGGCTGAACCAGCCCTTGTATCACCCGAAAGAGCTCCGCCGGACGGCACTTTGAGGAGACAATGGAAACGGAGAAGAATTTCTTTTTCGCCTCACCGCCACAGCATAGGCCCGATAATGGGCTCTTAAGTGTATTCGGTCAGATTCATCCTGTGATCTCCTCCACCTATGCTCTAGCTGTCTCTCCTGCCGCCCCAACTTCTCTCCTGCCGTCCCAATCGGTCTAACCGCCACAATCTCCGCTGGAGCTGGGCGTTCCATAAACTTCCTGTTACGTCTTCCTGTTCAGGACTCTGCCCAGCAGCTTCGGAGTCAGGAGGCGGGGGTGGGGGCAGCTTGTTCAAACACCTCGGAGTCTAGATGAGGGGAAGCTGCACCCTACTCAAACAACTCAGAGCCAGGTGTGGGGAGGCCACTCGCTCGGACGCCCCAGAGTCGGGCTGCAGAGGGGCCGTTTGGGCCCTGGACACCAAGTGTAAATCCCCTCGTTCCAACGCCTGACTCTCCCTGTGAGCTTCTGGCCCTCTCTCGCGTGCCCACGCCTCTGTCGAGCTGTAAGGCACGACAATCCTGGAGGTGGCCTTTCCAGCAGGCCGGGCTGGGCTGGCCGCCAGCCACCGGGGCCTGTTGTGGTGAGGAGCCGTGGGGGCGCGAGTCCCCCTCTAGCACTCCCACCCCTGTGCCACACGTTGTGCTTGTGTCACGGGAGAGAGAACACGGCAGGGGAAGAAAAGCCCTCGAAAACACGCGTGTGATGGAACCGATCTTAATCCCACGAGGACTCTGGAAGCAGCAGCCTCAATAAAGCGCTTGATTAAGAGCCCATTATTGAAAAGGCACCGACTTTAAAAGCAGAAGGGCAACTCTGTGGCCTGCTGACAGGCCATCCCAGGGGTTTTATCCCAGCCCTTGTCCGGATGGTTTCCTACAGGCACAGCAGAGAAATCCCAGACTTAGTGCATTTTATTTATTTTTTATTTATTTATACTTTTGTATGCCATCCCTTATGCATGGCGTCTTGGGACGGCTTACAATCCTTTTGTATGTTTGTATGTTTAGACTGGTGCACGTACAATTGGGGGAAGGCAGGAACCCCTCCGGGGCTCTCTTCCCAGTCATAGAAACATAGGAACAGAGCAAGTCAGAAGGGGTCTCCCGGGCCATCTAGTCTGACCCCCAGCACCAGCCGGCTCCGCTAACGACATGACATGCCCACCATGTGGACGTCCAGCCTATCCTTGAACACCCGCACCGATGGGGCCTCAGCGACCTCTCCTGGAAGCCCATTCCACACCCTCAGGGTCCTGACTGTCAGGAAGTGCTTCCTGGCCTCCAAATGGAACCTTGGCTCCCTGAGCTTTGCTCCGTTGGAGCCTTCTTATCTGTGCAGAAATAAAGAATTCTAGGGGTGAATTTTAAAGTGTTGGTGCATTTCTAGCAGCCCAGCAACACGGAGGAAGCCCGAAGTGCCCAGACCTCCTTTACTCCTGCATCTCCCTTCTTGATGCTCATGCATTGCTGGTCCTGCTGCAGAGAGAAGAAGGGGCAGAGGTCGGCTGAAGTCTGGATGAAACCCCGGGAGCACACCCCAGGTTCGGCGAGTGATCTCTGCATCACTTTCCCAAGGAGGAAAAGGAGCACATGGGGGGAGGAGGACCCAGAGGGACACAGAAGATGGCGCAGGGATGCCAAGCCTCTGGCCGCCAGGCAGCCCCTCCCAGAGCTCACAGGAGGGATGCGAGTGAGGGACACGCTCTTGCGGGGAAATACAGCTGCCCCTCCTGGCTGGCAGGCCCTGAAACACCCTCTTCCATGATAGAGCCGGGGGGGGGGGGGGGGGGGGGGGGGGGGGGGGGGGCGCAGGAGGAGACAAAGGTGCAGCCTGCAGTCCCGAGGGAGCCCCGGCTGCAGGGATTGGCTGAGCAGCTGTGAGGGAGGCCGGGGATCCCTCACTCTCCGGGCTGCCCCTCCCTGGTGGGCTGGGGCACATGGCTGGAGGGGGGCAGCAGGATCCGAGCACCCCCCCCCCGAAATTCTCTGTCCTGGCGCTCATGGAGGTTGTTTTTCTGGCCACCCTCAAAAAGGCCTCGGGCCCGGTCTGTGTGCCCAGGCAGCCCCTGTGGGGGGTGGGGGGGGTGGGGGGGTCTGGATTCAGGGGATCGCTGCAAACAGTGGCAGGGGGGCGGCGGTTATCTTACCACTCTCTGCCAGCACCACCACCATCATCCCCCAGCTTTTGCCTAGCAGTGCCATTCAACAGTTTCACCTGCCCACCTCCACTAATTTGCATCCAGCAGCTGATTTCCGGCCGCTCAGGGCCAGGAAAGCCCTGAGCTGCCCCGGGGTGTGACCAGGAGGGTCCGCCTGGCACTGCCACCTCCGGGATTCGGGGAAGTGGAGGAGGAGGAGGAGGAGGAGGAGGAGGAGGAGGGGTCGGGCCCCACCCTGCTCGCTTCTGCAGAAGGCGACCAAAGAGTTGCCCTTCCCAATGTGGGCAGCAAAGACTCTGCCACGTGCCTGGGGGGGCGGGGGGGGCAGGACCTTGACAACAGCACGAAGGTGCTGACAAGAGGGCCAGGGTCCTCTGATCAGGAGTGAGCGGTGGGCTTCTCACCCTCGCAGGGACAGGCCCAAGGGACTCTCACGGAGGGGCAGAGCCCCCCGAGGTTGCGTCCCCACAGGAGGCGTGAAAGGGCCCTCCAGCAGCGGACGGAGCGCCTGCCCAAGAAGAACCGAGGGAGAAGTAAGAGGTCCAGTGAAGCACCCGGAGAAGGTGGCATTCCAGGAGGAGGATTCCAGACAGCAGGGCTGAATCAGTGCCGATCCTTCCGCGGGAGCTGGTTGGGGCCCCATCGGGAGGGGGTTCAAGGATAGGCTGGACATGCAC